CCATGACAAGAGTCAGAAGCCATACCAAGAGCGATTCCGGTGCAATGGCCTCCAAAAGTTTGTCTACGCGACAAACGAGCTCCTGAAAATGGCGGGAATGGATATTTCTTGGATTGCCGGAAACTATCTGAAAGATGTGTGAGATGAGTTGTTGAAGAACTAGTGTGTGCGTGTAAACTTGTTTCACTTTTGAGAACTGGAATCTTGAATCTGAGAATATAGAACGTTTTAACTTGACGTCAAGGTAGCCAATCTAGTGTACCAAAACACTGAAACGGCGGCCATGTTGGTTTACCAAACCAATCCTGTAGGAGTTGAAGTCTTCTCCTACGTGAACCTTTTCTTTTGTTCCCATAAATTTACAGGGCTGCTGGTCACGTGCGAGAAAACGCTCTATAACACAAGATAGTCAAGAATCTTAGTAATGTGCGTCAACCTTAAATACGGAATTATTTGGAAGGGGAATTTTAGGTAGCTCTTATTTGTGTTAAACTTTTGTAAAAAACTTTTTTAAAAAACTTGAATATTGACTTGCTAAACAAAATGGGAGTCACTGAGCTCTTTTCTGAGTTATGAGCACTTAAATCTGAAATTAAGAGTGTTTTTAAAAGGTCAAACAGCTGTTTTTATGTAATTTTTAACTTCAAGAAAATGATCATAACTTGTTTGCCAGTGATTGGGCATATGCATTTGTTTGATACCATTACTGTAGCTGAAACTGAAAAAGAATGATGGTGTCAACCCATTAAAGTAAAGTGCTGCCCTGAAAATCCTGTTGTCAGCCACCTTAAAAGCTCTCATCCTGGTCCCTACTGGCTCTAACAAAAAGTTTAACCGCAAGCTATCTAAGATAAGTTAGGCAGCCTGCTCACAGACTTTCTGATTTCTTTACGAATCGGCAAGAACCGGGGCAAAATAAAAACGGCTGGAAATTGAACGAGGACAACGCAGAGAGGTTGGGTGGGGAGAGTGTTTTATACGCTCCAAGATCGCTCTCTCGTTTCGCCCTCCCTCTTGCCTACGTAGTCCGGCGAATTCGAGCGCGAAGCACGTTCGTTCGACTCCATGCAAACGGCCGTTTTAGTCTGAAATAGCGTGTAGGATTTGGACATTTTCACTTCAACATTTACTCTTCAGCATTATCATTTGCTTGAAGACCGTGGCAACAAACGAAAGCAAGCGAAAGGACGGACGCTAGTATTAAGTAGTTGTCCAAAGAGCGATTTTCAATTCAGTGTCGTAAAACCGAAACCAAACCAATTACTTACCAATTAGACTACTCCGCCAATCTTGAACCGTAGTAAAACCAAAACCAAAAGCAAAACCAAAACCAAAACCAAAGTAATTGCGTGAATACTTTCGACACTCAGTTGAAAACCGCTACAAGGCAGCAACTCAGTAATGCAAAATGTAATCTGTCAAGATAAGACGAGGACTGAGTGTAAGCACTGTTAATAGAGGGGACTGGTTATGAAACCCGACCAATTTCTTTGTTGTAGGTTTTTGTTCACATTTTTGGTCTTGAACGAGCACAAAACACAATAGCTGTTTTCTCCGTACTGAGGAACTAAACAATAGAAACGTTTTGGTTACGTAATTCATGCATATAGTGTATGAGCGCAAAACAAAAGATTGTGCAGGGTCGTGGACCTTCCAACATAAATCTTGGCATCTCTGTTTGTTCCTTTGATGTTTGCCCTGCTCGCATAACTATTTTACTTTATTAACAATGATTTAAGCCACAAAGGCATAAAGGTAGCAAAAAAACTGAGATATGATTTAATTAAAAGAAAACCGGCTATGACAAAACTCACTGGCAGGTATGTCCAGCAACACGGGTTTGAATCAAGTCTGCATTTCAGATCTAGGACAGGGAGAAAGAAGGGGTGATTTGGGACACCATTTGGACGGTTCCTTTTAATACCGCCTCGATCTTTCTGCAAGTCTTGGTGTGATGATCTCCCAGAACGAAGCACGAGTAAAGTAGTTGTTGACTCAACTCATAATAATTATAAATATTAGTACGCTGGAAAAAACTGTTCTGGATCGATGTTTTACAACAAAAAATTAAAACAAGCAAAGCTACGCAAATAATTTTTTGACTGTCTTAGATTCCGCACGTGGAAAGTTATTTTAAGAAGACTTGCGTTACAGCGTGTCCATATTTGGTAACTGAATCACTAGACTTTTGAAAAAAAAAAAGGCACATTTGAAGTGTTGTTTTCCGAAGAACATCGATACGTGTTTTTGTATTTCTTTCAAGAATATGACAGGAAAGCATGAGAAAGACTTACAACTTATTTGGCCAGTGAAATACGATAATGTCTTCAGACAATGATCTTCTTTAAAGTCTTTAAACTGTTCTTGTCGCTAGATCGGTCTTCTTCCACCTACTTTGAAGATGGCAGTCGGTGACTCCTGCTTCGTACAAACCACAATTGCACAAAATGATGCTATGTTACCCCAGTCAACTCTCCCTACGACGGACACCATCGGGACCGGCCTCAGCTGTCCGTCTTAGAGAGGTGTCCGGCTTATAGAGAGTCGACGTAACATGACCCCAAGAATTTTGAGATAATAATGCTGAACCTGTGCTGACTGCTCACTTTTATTTGGCTGCCATATTTGTGTCATAAAAAAGGATACTAACCAGGCGGATTCATACTAACACCGACTGCAACTTTCCCAAATTATTTTTGCTTCAACATGGTGATGAAAAACACCGCAAAGGTACAATTTAGATTAAACTGCAAATGTTTTTTTCTACCTGCTGTATATTCTGTAAGTTTTCTGATGTTTTTCAATTAAGCAAACAGTTTTTAAAAGAAATATGGATAAAAACCACGCCCATATCTATTGAATGTACCTGAAAAGTGGTGTATGACATTTTCAGACTCTAGACTATATTTAGGCCTAAATACCGCTCTGGTTAACCTGAATATCACGCAGGTTAGCCTGACTAGCGTTCAGGTTAACCTGTTTACGGTTAGCTCTCGTTAATGGAAATGGGAATGCGATATAAGTTGAAAAGTCTGCAGTTTTTAGTATGGCAGCCTGTAATCTGCAGTCTGCAAATGTCATACACCGTATGAAACCAAATTAAATTTGACTATTCTTTAATATAAAGTATACAAGTAGCAGATTGATAATGTTATTAAATGTAATACTTCGATGAATCCCCTTGATATTGGAATGTGCCATGATAATTAAGCAGGAGTCCATAACCAGCAGAAGTACTTCGGCGAGGCCGTCTATGCCGAGAATGAGCTTTTATTAGGACACAAGTAGTTACGGCCTCTCGAAAAAATTCAGTTAGGGCAAAAACAATGGGACCGTCACTTAAGCCCCGCCCACACTACGCCGGAGGAATTTGAGAACGCAACAATCGCTGTTTATTTTGGATTTGCGTTTGAGTAAATCTCGGACAGGGAAATATTATGATTATCGTGACGTCATCGTTTACGAAAAGCTCCGGTTTAAAAATGTTTTCATTCCACACTTAAACGCAAAGCTGACGTTTTCAAATTTCTCCGGTTTGAAAAGCGTTTTTTACCACAGT